TCTAGTTGTGTCCGGCTATGTGAGGATCGTTCTAGTTGTGTCCGGCTGTGTGAGGATCATTCTAGTTGTGTCCGGCTGTGTGAGGATCATTCTACTTGTGTCCGGCTGTGTGAGGATCATTCTACTTGTGTCCGGGGCTGTGTGAGGATCATTTTACTTGTGTCCGGCTGTGTTAGGATCATTCTACTTGTGTCCGGCTGTGTGAGAATCATTCTGCTTGTGCCTGGCTGTGTGAGGATCATTCTAGTTGTGTCCGGCTGTGTGAGGATCATTCTACTTGTGTCCGGCTGTGTGAGGATCATTCTACTTGTGTCCGGGGCTGTGTGAGGACCATTTTACTTATGTCCGGCTGTGTGACGATCATTCTGTTTGTGTTCGGCTGTGTGAGGATCATTCTACTTGCGTCCGACTGTGTGAGGATCGTTCTATTTGTGTCCGGCTGTGTGAGGATCATTTTACTTGTGTCCGGCTGTGAGGATCATTCTACTCGTGTCCGGCTGTTTGAGGATCATTCTACTCGTGTCCGGCTGTGTGAGGATCATTCTACTTGTGTCCGGCCTGTGTGAGGATTATTCTGTTTGTGTCCGGCTGTGTGAGGATCATTCTACTCGTGTCCGGCTGTGTGAGGATCATTCTACTCGTGTCCGGCTGTGTGAGGATCATTCTACTTGTGTCCGGCCTGTGAGAGGATTATTCTACTCGTGTCCGGCTGTGTGAGAATCATTCTACTCGTGGTCGGCTGTGTGAGGATCATTCTACTCGTGTCCGGCTGTGTGAGGATCATTCTACTCGTGTCCGGCTGTGTGAGGATCATTCTACTCGTGTCCGGCTGTGTGAGGGTCATTCTAATCATGTCCCGCTGTGTGAGGATCATTCTACTCGTGCCCGGCTGTGTGAGGATCATTCTACTTGTGTCCGGGTGTGTGAGGATCATTCTACTTGTGCCCAGCTGTGTGAGGATCATTCTACTTGTGTCCGGCTGTGTGAGGATCATTGTGTTTGTGTCCGGCTGTGTGAGGATCATTCTACTTGTGCCCGGCTGTGTGAGGATCATTGTGTTTGTGTCTGGCTGTGTGAGGATCATTCTACTTGTGTCCGGCTGTGTGAGGATCATTCTGCTCGTGTCCGGCTGTGTGAGAATCATTCTACTTGTGTCCGGCTGTGTGAAGATCATTCTACTTGTGTCCAGCTGTGTGAGGATCATTCTACATGTGTCCGGGTGTATGAGGATCATTCTACTTGTGTCCGGCTGTGTGAGGATCATTCTGTTTGTGTCCGGCTGTGTGAGGATCATTCTACTTGTGTCCGGCTGTGTGAGGATCATTCTACTTGTGTCCGGCTGTGTGAGGATCATTCTACTTGTGTCCGGCTGTGTGAGGATCATTCTACTTGTGTCCTGCTGTGTGAGGATCATTCCATATGTGTCCGGCTGTGTGAGGATCGTTCTACTTGTGTCCGGCTGTGTGAGGATCATTCTACTTGTGTCCAGCTGTGTGAGGATCATTCTACATGTGTCCGGCTGTGTGAGGATCATTCTACTTGTGTCCGGCTGTGTGAGGATCGTTCTACTTGTGTCCGGCTGTGTGAAGATCGTTCTACGTGTGTCCAGCTGTGTGAGGATCACTCTACTGTGTCCGGGTGTGTGAGGATCATTCTACTTGTGTCCGGCTGTGTGAGGATCATTCTACTTGTGTTCGGCTGTGTGAGGATCATTCTATATGTGTCCGGGTGTGTGAGGATCATTCTACTTGTGTCCGGCTGTGTGAGGACCATTCTACTTGTGTCTGGCTGTGTGAGGATCATTCTACTTGTGCCCGGCTGTGTGAGGATCATTCTGTTTGTGTCCTGCTGTGTGAGGATCATTCTACTTGTGTCCGGCTGTGTGAGGATCATTCTACTCGTGTCCAGGTGTGTGAGGATCATTCTACTTGTGTCTGGCTGTGTGAGGATCATTCTACTCGTGTCCAGGTGTGTGAGGATCATTCTACTTGTGTCTGGCTGTGTGAGGATCATTCTACTTGTGTCTGGCTGTGTGAGGACCATTCTACTTGTGTCTGGCTGTGTGAGGATCATTCTACTTGTGTCCGGCTGTGTGAGGATCATTCTGTTTGTGTCCTGCTGTGTGAGGATCATTCTACTTGTGTCCTGCTGTGTGAGGATCATTCTACTTGTGTCCGGCTGTGTGAGGATCATTCTACTCGTGTCCAGGTGTGTGAGGATCATTCTACTTGTGTCTGGCTGTGTGAGGATCATTCTGTTTGTGTCCTGCTGTGTGAGGATTATTCTACTTGTGTCCGGCTGTGTGAGGATTATTCTGTTTGTGTCCTGCTGTGTGAGGATCATTCTACTTGTGTCCTGCTGTGTGAGGATCATTCTACTTGTGTCCGGCTGTGTGAGGATCATTCTACTCGTGTCCAGGTGTGTGAGGATCATTCTACTTGTGTCTGGCTGTGTGAGGATCATTCTGTTTGTGTCCTGCTGTGTGAGGATTATTCTACTTGTGTCCGGCTGTGTGAGGATTATTCTGTTTGTGTCCTTCTGTGTGAGGATCATTCTACTTGTGTCCGGCTGTGTGAGGATCATTCTACTTGTGTTCTGCTTTGTGAGGATCATTCTACTTGTGTCCGGCTGTGTGAGGATCATTCTACGTGTCCGGCTGTGTGAGGATCGTTCTACTTGTGTCCGGGTGTGTGAGAATCATTCTACTTGTGTCCGGCTGTGTGAGGATCATTCTACTTGTGCCCGGCTGTGTGAGGATCATTCTACTCGTGTCCGGCTGTGTAAGGATCATTCTACTCGTGTCCGGCTGTGTGAGGATCATTGTGCTTGCTGCTGCTTTATGAGGTCAGTGTAGCTGCAGAAACACATCTAAGTTCTGCTGAGTTATATAGTCAGATTTAATCTAGAACATGACATTGACCTCCAGGTCAGGTGCTAGACAGGTGTTAGTGGTGTGGCACTAACAGCCACGTCTACCTGTTGTTGATTCCGGGGTTAAGAGCTCACGTGGATTGGTCACGGACCCGTGTCGTGGTTAACTATCTAATCAATCAGGCTGTTTGTGACAGTAGCAGTACGTAGTTAACATAGGCACTACAGCCCTGCTTATCAGGAAATGACTTGAAGATCTTATAAATTTTCCTCTTGAAGACAGCCGGAGGCCTGTTGTCAGTTCCTTTTATGAATGAAGGAGGGTGTTGAAGAGTCTTGGTCCCTTTACACATAAAGAGTTATCTCAGAGAGTACTTGTTGAACTCTTACTTTTCAATGGGGTATTTTGCAACGTCTCTTGTAGAGAGCAATTTCAGTATGCAGATTTATGACCAATCCCTCCACAATTTTCCGGTTATCATTATAACGCAACTTCCTCCCCTTCGTTCCAGGTAGTATAGTTCATGGGAACACAGACGTTCAAAGTTATATAATTTAACCGAATTTATACGGGTAGTGAAAGTTTTCTGTGCATTCTCCAGATCAACAGTTTCATGGGTCTGTTCAGCAATATTCCAGTCTAGAAATTACAAATTTCTTTAAGAATAATATCACTGGATTAACATCTTGCGTATCGAAGGTTCTCATTATCCACGCCAGTATTTGTTTCTTCTCTTTGTGTTGGTAACACTGTTGTGATCCATGAATGTAAAATCTTCTGGTAATACTGCTCTTACGTCTTCTTCCGCTTTATTAAACACTTTCACTCTTATATACTCCCTGTTTTTAATTCTTATTTTGTTTATGATTAACAAGGAAAAAAATGGAGTTAGTCCAGTGTCTTGATGGACATAATTCATCACAGCAACAGTTTCTGGTGTCGTTGTGGACACCTACATTTTTGGGCCTGACTTGTTAGGGAACTAAAAACCTTTCCGCCCAGTTATCCACTTCTGTCTTCTGTGTGTGATGTGGCGCTGTCACACCAGAACCACAAGTGCAACACGTACTGTATATTAACTGAGGCACTAGACAGGTGTAAGTGTTGTAGTAACTTAGCAAAAGACAAACAACTACCAACAACTTAAGTGAAATGAGCACCATTGCACTCACTCACGAGACACCTTTATTGAAGGTGTTTCTTAAATGAGGCGTCTAATGAATACATTCATGCCTGGCGGGACTGTCTGCTTGTAAACCTGGCTAACAGCTACCTCACTTTAAAGTTTACAAGAATTTTTTAATAATAGTATAGTCGAATATTACACTGTATGTTTGTGAAATACTGCGTTCAAAACTCATAGATTGTGAATTTATTATTATTATTATTATTATTATTATTATTATTATTATTATTATTATTATTATTATTATTATTAATGGTGGAGATGGAGCGGCTGTTATTGTAGTTCCAAGTTATCATTTACATCATAATAATATGTGCAATAACTATACGTTTTAATATAACAAAGTTTTAATAATCTTGAGAGCACATTGATTTAGTTAAGTACACAACATAACGTCTGTAGTGAACTGAAAGAGACATTTACTATCTACAGTGACTGGCTGGTTAATTTGGCCCATAGACTACACGAGGGTCATTAAGGGTGTCACCATCACTCTACAATACTTTAATTCTTATAATAGGGATTAACGTAAACTCAGTGTATAAACACACTGGAAATGTGAATCAACCTCTACAAGCACATATAGGTAAGTACACCTCATGGTGTACACAGCAGCAGCGTAAAATATTAATTTATTATGACGAGAAAATGGCTATGACTGTTGTACCGTCTATGTGACGTTGTAGAATAACGTAGAGACGCACTGCCAGGGTATCAAGTGTATCCAGGCTGCAGTTGTCCAGAATTATATTAAGTATACGAAATACGCAAGTAAGTTTATTCAGGTATACACAAATATAGTTTCATAGATATCATACATAGCAGCATATATGTGGAGAACCTGGGATAACCCAAAAAAGTCAAAGTGATTTATTTCCATTAATAACCAACACTTGTGCTCCTCAAATAGAAGATATCTGAATATTATTTGTTGTGCCACAGCCGCCGGTGTGGCTGGGTTGGGTGGGCGACATGAGCACCATCACAGACTTCCTGCTGGACAAGAGCTGGAGTTCTCCTTGGTGTATCCTCAAGGCTACCAACTCCATTCTACGAGCCATCGGCATTGTGAGTACCCACTGATTTTCTGTATCTTTCGTTGGCATCTTTTTTTCCTTTCAAATCATGCTTATTTAATTCAAAACACCGACTCCTACTTGTTGACATGTTCACTGTGAATGGTTAGTGTTAGTGAGGTGCAGAGACTATCAACTGCACTTGGGTTATTAAGGCTTAACGTCACCTTGTCATCACCATGACAAGATTACTTTAATCTCTAAAATAGAGATTAGTAAACTCTCAGTATACATACGCTGAAAAGCAATCCACCTCTCAGTGTGTATATAACCTGGGTTGTGAATGTTAGATACTATTCAACTCCCTTCTAAAACATTCTCCTTTTTAATCTAGAGTATACCTGAAGAAGGTTTCGGGGGTCAACGCCCCCGCGGCCCGGTCTGTGCCAGGCCTCGTGGTTGATCAGGGCCTGATCAACCAGGCTGTTACTGCTAGTTGCACGCAAACCGACGTACGAACCACAGTCCGACTGGTCAGATTCTGACTTTAAGTGCTTGTCTTGAGGCTTCTTTAAGACAGCCAGGGGACTATGGGTAATTCCCCTTAAGTATGCTGGGAAGCAGATGAACAGTTTTGGGCCCCTGATACCCATTGTGTTGTCTCTTAGCGTACTTGTGGTGTCCCTGCTTTTCATTGGGGGATGTTGTATCGCTTGCCGAGTCTTTTGCTTTAGTAGGGAGTGATTTTCGTGTCCAAATTTGGTACTAATCCCTCTAGGATTTTCCAAGTGTATAATATCATGTATCTTTCTCGCCTGCACTCTAGTGAATACAAGTCAAGGAACTTCAACTATTCCCAGTAATTTAGGTGTTTTATCGTCCTTTTGTGTGCCGGAAAGGTTCTCTGTACATTCTCCAGGCCAGCAATTTCACCTGCCTTGAAGGAGGCAGTTAGTGTACAGCAATATTCCAGCCTAGAGAGGACAAGCGATATGAAGAGAATCATCATGGGCTTGACGTCCCTAGTTTTGAAGGTTTTCATTGTCCATTCTATCATTTTTCTAGCAGATGTGATAAATACTTTGTTGTGATCTTTGAAAGTGAGATTCTAGGACATTATCACTCCCAGGTCCTTCACATTAGTTTTTTGCTGTATTGTGTGGTTGGAATTTGTTTTATACTCCAATATAGTTTTAATTTCCTCAAGGTTTCCATATCGGAGTAAATGAAATTTCTCTTCACTGGACTTCATGTTGTTTTCTGCAGCCCATTTAAAGATTTGGTTGATGTCAGCTTGGTGTCTTGCGGTGTCTTCGATGGAGGTCACTGTCATGTAAATTCGGGTGTCATCCGCAAAGGAAGACACGGTGCTGGTGCTGTGGCTCACATCCCTGTCTATGTCAGAAATAAGGATGAGGAGCAGGATGGTGGGGAGTACTGTTTCTTGTGGAACAGGGCTTTTCACTGTAGCTGCCTCAGACTTTACTCTGTTTGCTATTACTCTTTGTGTTCTATTTGTTAAGAAGTTAGAGATCTATCTACCAATTTTTCCTGTTATTCCTTTATCACGCAGTTTGTGCACTATTACACCATAGCCGCACTTGTTGAAGCCTTTCGCAAAGTCTGTGTATACTACTTCTGCATTTTGTTTGTCCTCTAGAGCATCCAAGACCTTGTCATAGTGGTCCAGTATCTGGGACAGGCAGGAGCGACCTTCTCTAAATCCATGTTGCCGTAGGTTGTGTAACTGATGGGTATCTAGATGGGTGGTGATCTTGCTTCTTAGAACTTTAGTGCCCCATTTGTGGAGTGCGGCTATTATTATTATTATTATTATTATTATTATTATTATTATTATTATTATTATTATTATTATTATTATTATTATTATTATTATAAGAACATAAGAATGGAGGAACACTACGGAAGGCCTATTGGCCCATACAAGGCAGGTCCTTATCAAAACGTCCTCTACCCAAGGCTATGTAAGAATTTACTCCTGTACCCAATGACACCAATCAAACCCAGTCCCTCCCACTCATATATTTGTCCAATCTCTCTTTAAAGCTACCCAAGGTCCTAACCTCGATCACTCTACTAGGAAGATTGTTCCATGCATTTACAACTCTGTTAGAAAACCAGTACTTATCTATGTCCTTTCTAAATCTAAATTTATCCACCTTAAATCCGTTATTTCTGGTTCTTACCTGGTTCGACACCCTCAGTACTTTATTAATGTCACCTTTGTTTATGCCCGTCATCCACTTATACACTTCGATGATATCTCCCCTCATTCTACGTCTCTTCATACAGGTGGTTCCTTACACAGTAAATCATTTTAGTCATTCTTCTCTGTATGTTCTCCAATGAGTCTATATACATCCTGTAGTAAGGAGACCAAAACTGAGCGGCATAATCTAAATGAGGCTTCACTAGTGATGTATAGAGCTGTAAAATAACTTTTGGACTTCTGTTACTTATACTTATTGAGATAATTCCTAGTAATCTTTTAGCTTTTTTGCACACACTTAGGCACTGCTGTCTTGGCTTTAGATTTCTGCTTACCATGACTCCCAAGTCTTTTTCACATTCTGTATGATCAAGCTCTACTTCACCTAGATTATAGCTTCGAGGGTTATTTTCATTACCAAGGGCTAGTACCTTACACTTATCCACATTGAACTTCATCTGCCGTTTTTCAGACCAAGACATTAATTTGTCCAAATCCTCCTGGAGTTCATTGCTATCCTCCTCAGAATGAATCATACAGCCTGTCTTTGTATCATCAGCAAATTTGCTCATGTCACTCGTAATCCCTTCATCAAGGTCATTAATGTAAATTATGAACAAGAGAGGGCCTAAAACTGATCCTTGTGGAACGCCACTAGTGACTAATCCCCACTCAGATTTGACCCCATTAATGGAAACTGTCTGCCGTTTCCTGCCAAATCAGTGTGACCCAGAGAAGAAGAAACACTTTCATCATCCACTCCATCATTGTCTTGCCAGAGGCATGCCTACACTACAGTTATAAAACTGCAACATTAACACCTGTCCTTCAGACTGCAGGCACTGTACTTCCCACCTCCAGGATTTAAGTCTGGTCTGCCGGTTTCCCTGAATCTTCATAAATGTTACCTTGCTCACACTCCAACAGCATGTCTAGTCCTAAAAACCACTTGTCTTCACTCGTTCCTATCTAACATGCTCACGCATGCTTACTGGAAGTTCAAGCCCCTCACATTCAAAACCTCCTTAATCCCCTCCCTCCAACCTTTCCTAGGCTGACCTCTTTCCTTCCACTACAGATTTATTCGCTCTTCATTCCATCCTCTCTAAATGTCTGAATCACTTCAACAACCCCTCCTCAGCGCTCTGGATAATACTTTCATTAACCCTGCACCTCCTCCTAATTTCCAAATTACGGATTCTCTGCATTATATTCACACTGCACATTGCCTTCTGACACAACCTCTCCACTGCCTCCAGCCTTCTCCTTGTTGCAACATTAACCACCCATGCTTCACACCCATATAAGAGCGTTGGTATGACTATACTCTCAAACATTCCCTTTGTGCTTCCATGGATAACGTTATTTGTCTCCACAGACTCTCCACCTTTTTCCCCTCATCAGTTCAGTGATTCAGGTTGTCTTTTATAGACCCATCTGCTGATAACTCCACTCCTAAATGTTTGAATACATTCATTCCTCCATACTCCCTCCCTCCAATTTGATATCCAGTCTTTCATTACCCATATTTTTTTGTTATCCTCATCACCTTACTCTTTCCTATATTCACTTTTAATGTCCTTCTTTTGCATTCCCTACCAAACTCATCTGCTAACCTCTGTAACTTCTTTTCAGAATCTCCCAAAAACACAGTATCATCAGCAAAGAGCAACTGTGACAACTACCACTTTGTGTTAGATTCTATATCTTTTAATCCCACTTCTTGCCCACACCCGAGCATTCACTTCTCTTACAACCCCTTCTACAAATATATTGAGCAACCATGGTGACATCACACATCCTTGTCTAAGGCCTATTTTTACTGGGAAATAATCTCCCTCTCTCCTACAAACTCTATCCTCGTAAAAACTCTTCACTGCTTTCAGTAACCTACCTCCTATTCCAGACATTTGTAACATCTGCCACACTGCCCCACTATCCATCTTATCATACGCCTTTTCCAAATCCATAAATGCCACAAAAACTTCTTTACTTTTATCTAAATACTGTTCACTTATATGTTTCACTGTGAACACTTGAACTACACCCCCCCCCCTACCTTTCCTAAAACCTCCCTGTTTCTGTGCAATCCAGCTCTCCGTCTTACTCGTAATTCTTTCAGTAATAACTCTACCATACACTTTACCAAGTATACTCAGCAGGCTTATTTCCCTAAAATTCTTACACTCTATTTTGTCCTCTTTGCCTTCATACAAAGGAACTATGCATACTGTCTGCCTTACCCTCTTCCATACATTTATTAAATAAAAGCACTAACTACTCTAAAACTATATCTCTGCCTGCTTTTAACATTTCTGTCTTTATCCCATCAATCCCAGCTGCTTTATCCGCTTTCATTCTTCCCCCACACTCACATCTGGTTCTTCCTCACTCCTACAAGATGTTACCTTGCCCAGTGCACGAAACCACAGCTTCCTTATTTTCATCAACATTTAACAGTTCCTCAAAATATTCCCTCCATCTTCCTAATACCCCTAACTCTTCGTTTAATAACTCTCCTCTCCTATTTTTAACAGTCAAGTCCATTCGGCTTTCTCAACTTGTTAATCTCACTCCAAAACTTTTTCTTATTCTCAACAAATTTTGTCGATAACATCTCACCCACTCTCTCATTTGCTCTCCTTTTACATTCCTTCACTCCTCTCTTAACCTCTCATTTTCTCTCCGTATTCTCCTCCTGCCTTATATCACTTCTGCTTTGTAAAAATCTCTCATATGTTAACTTTTTCTCTCTCACTACTCTCTTTACATCATCATTCCACCAGTTGCTCTTCTTCACTCCTGCTCCCACATTCCTGTAA